GGGTCGTGATTTTCAAGCTCCTGATTTAGAACGGGGTATCCATTTCAGAGGCGTTTTCTAGAACGGGGTATAAAAAATTGTGGATCACGGCTTTATCTTCTGCTTAAAATTGTCGCTGATTATGAAGAAGCATTTATTTGATGTATAAGTCGAACAAATAAAGAAATATCTTTTTAAAAAAACAGGGCTATTTCAAGTTACAAACTTTCTAGGAAGGAGTATAAAAAATTGGCCCATTTCTAGAACGGGGTATAGGGCGAATTCTAGAACGGGGTATAAAAAGTTGGCCCATTTCTAGAATGGGGTATCAATTTTAGGGAAAATTTTTGCTAGAACGGGGTGCCAATTTGGAGTCCCGGGCGGCACATACCCACCCAAAGTACCCACCTAAGTGCCCCCCCCCCCGGGAACATCAGGCTGAAGCATATCGTTATTGACGTTTGACGTGACTCACCTCACAGGAAAACCTATGAGATTAGATTTATTTTAACTGATTAAGCTTCTAACAACACGACTTTGCTTAAAGTGGGGAATATGTTCACCATTTGCCATACAACCTATATTAATTATTTCCGTAGTAACCACGGGTTGTCTGTTAGCAAGCCTAAAACTCTAACCTATGCAAACTCGATTTGCATTGGTAATTAATACCCTGTGGATTATGCAAATGTTATTATATAAGAGGTTACGCGTGCTCCACCCCATCACTCTACTCGAGCACGGCCGCAAAACCGCAGAGCTTAGCACCCCACCCTCCCCCTCAATCGAGTAAGTCGGGCTTGATCATCTCAACTCCTATCTTCGCCTGGTCTTGGGCTTGTCCCAGGCCAGAGCGATTCTTTCACCTTATTATCATGTCATTAATAACAATACCCAGGGTAGAATATTACACTGTTTTTCATATTTTTTCCCTCCAAGCAGTGGAATGCACATTCCAACGAATTAAGGATCAGCGCTTTTCCTGATTGATCAATTACACTTTTTTTAGTTACCAATTTTAGAGATCTTAATTTTTTTCCTCCAAGATATTTAATAGCTAAAATTTTTGTAGCCACTCCAAAATTCGAGATATAATAAAGGTTATGCATCTATGTATAGTTAAGAGAAGATCGGAGCATTCCTCCTTGGTGATCACTTATTAATTCTCACAACTTTTTTTGTTGTATATGTATTGATATTGTCTGGAGAAAATTAATGTTGGTCACTCATGGTACTTACATGGTTAAACTGCCTGTTCGGCATGCCATACGGCACGCAACAACATTAGCATAGTGTGGTAAAGGTCTCATGAATTTTTTGAAAAATCCTGAGATCACTTGAATCAAGCCGAGTGCGGGAGTTACTTGCCTGCGTCGTAGACGCTCTAAACGTTCTTCAGACGGACTATACAAATGGTTTAGACGAGTGCGGGGGCCCGGGCAAGTGATCGGTAGAAATGCTTCATAAAACACAAAATTTTGCACCTTTTGATCTCAAATGTTGATATAAGTATAGGTTATCACATGATTTCGAGTGCAATTTGGAATAAATAAGCACGAGTAAATTTTTCAAAGACCAACAAAAGTGCACGAGCCCGTAAAA